GAAGGAGGCAAGAATATTACAATGGGGAAAAGATAGGCTTTTCAGTAAATGGTATTGGGAAAACTGGGGGACTACATGCAAAAGCTGAAACTGGATTGCAGTCTTACATCATACACAAATACAAACTCTAAATAGATCAAAGATATATATCCATAAATCCATATCAAAGACATGAATCCATAAATGTTCTAGAAGTAAACATAGGTAGTAAATCCTTGAACATCAGTGCTAGTAATGTTTTACTGGCTACATCTCCCAGGCAAGGAAAACAAAAGCAAAAATAAACAGGTGGGACTACATCAAACTAAAAAGTTCCTGTACAGTAAAGGAACCATCAACAAAATGAAAAGGCAACCTACTGTATGGGAGAATATATTTTCACACGATATATCTAATAAGTGGTTAATATCAAAAACATATACAGAACTAATATAACTCAACACCAAAGAAACAAATAATCTCACTAAAAATTGGGCAGAGGACCTGAATAGACGTCTTCTCAAAGAAGAAACACAGATGGTGACAGACACTTGAACAAATGCTCATCACTAATCACCAGGGAAATGCAAATCTAAACTAAAATGATATACCACCTGATTCCAGAATGGTTAATATCAACAAGGCAAGAAATAAGGAATGTTTTCAATGATGTGGATTAAAGGGAACCTCATTCACTCCCGGTGGGTTTACAAAGTGTTGCAACCACTATAGAAAGTGGTATGGAAGTTTCTCAAAAAACTAAAAATAGAAATACAAGCAATTCTACTTCTGGGAATTTATCTGAAGAAAACAAAATCCCTAATTCTAAAAAATATATTAACTCCTATGTTCATTCCAAAAGATGGATGCAAGCTGTATGTCCATCAATAGATGAATGGATAAAAAGCTGTGGCACACATACACAGTACAATATTACTGAGCTACAAAAAATAAATGAAGCTGTGCCATTTGAAACAACATGGATGGACCTAGCGTATGTTATGCTAAGTGAAATAAGTCAAAGAGACAAATACCCTGTGATTTCACTTAGATGTGTAATATAAAAAACAAAAAAATGCACCAATGAGCAAAACAGAAATAGACTCATGGGCACAAAGAAAAAACTGGTAGTTGTGTGTGTCGGGGAGAGTGTGTGTGTAGGGGAATGGGTGAAATATGTGAAGGGGGAAAATTAGTGACAATGTTGATATCTTGGTCTCAGCAATGTTTACATGAGTGTATACACATGTCAAAATTCATCAAGCTGTATACTAAGACCTGTGCATTTATTTTATATACTTAATATAAAAAACATATAAATAAAATAAGACAAACACAAAAAATATGGCTTGATAACACACATATATTATAGAAATACATATTAAGATTTGCATGTTATATATATATATATATACACATATACATGTATATATACACACATACACAAGACAAAGATAAGGCACTTTCATCACAAATAGCAGCACATTAGTACATTCACAATCATAAGCAGTTATTAAGTCTATGCCATATAGAATTAAACAGGCATTTGTTTATAAGTTACAAAACTAACACATCCAAATTTAAACAATTTCATTTCCTCAGTCAATTAACCCCATCTCACCCGTGGAAACACCTTTCCCTATAGTATTCAGTCTAGTTTCTACAGTTTAGCAAGCTTTTTCCTTGATCCTAGGTTTTCCAAGAAAACTGTGAAGTTGTTTCCAAGAAAACTCTGGCTCACTTCTTTGTACCTATGACTGCACTGTTTCATGTTAGGAGCTTAATATTTGTTTATTAAACAAAAATATTTACAAATAAAATGTGGAATAAAGTATGGAATTAGACAACCTTAATTTGGCCTCACCCTTAAGTTTGTTCATTTATTATTTAACAGAGAGACAGTTTTAAAAACATAGACTAATAATGTATATATTACCTCCTGACAAGATTTTAGGCCTTAAAAACAGATGATTTGTAGGCATTTATGAATGAATGTGTAATAATCTCAAACCTCAAATTATAGACTCCTGAGTCTGGGGTAGAGCTATTATATCTCTCCATTGTAAAAGAAGCCTAATATGGCAGAACAGTTTAATCTTTAAATAAAGAAACTGAGGAAGAAAACGTGAAAGAGTATTTTCAATGCTCTGCACTAGTGGTGCTAGCAAAATATAACTTCTCAATCTACATGTGTACTTTGATCAAGATTGTTAGTGAAATTTCTAGCACCTTTTCTTAAAGATGGAAAAAATATAATGAAAAGTACATGTCAGATAGGCACAGCACAGAAGACTTTTAGCACAGTGAAACTACTCTGTATAATATAATTGTCATGGATATGTCATTATAAATTTGTGGAAACCCATAGAATGTCCAATACAAAGAATGAGCTCTAATGTAAACTATGCACTTTGCATGCTAATGTGTCAGTGTAGATCCATCAGTTGTAACAATAGTACAACTCTAGTGGGAGATGTTGATAATTGGGGAGTCTATGCATGTGTTGGAAAAGGAGGTATATGGGAAATATGCACTCAGTACTGCTGTGAACTCAAAACTGTTCTAAAAAGTAAAATATACAATGGCTAATAATTTTGACCCCATTTTTAATGAAAGGAGGATCAAATACCTAAATAAATTTTTAAAAGAAAAAATAAAGGATAATGCAAACAAAGAATGGATATGTAATTGCTTCAAGAAATTCTCAGGGCTTTGATTTGTGGATTTTGACTTCCTGGAACATCCTGTGCTAATAATGGACCCCAAGGTTCATACTGAACGTATGATATAAGCCTTCCCATAATATTTGTGAGATTGAAATATCATTTAAATTATAAAAGACAAATTCTTCTGACTTTGTATTTATACAAACTTACCTTCCAAGTCCCTAGGAAAATTGGAACTTCGTATTACCTACTAAAAGAATGACTTACCGAGTGTTTCGCTGTAAAACTGATTCCACCTCTTCTCATTAAATGTTTGGAACCAAAAGTCAAAATAAAGCACATATATCATATTTTTCACCCTCTCTTTGAAAGTCATTTTATCACTTAATTCTGACAAAATAACAGGTACATAGGATGCAGGTAAAGGAAGTCCTCCACCGTACTTTTCAAATCCATAGCCAGCAGAAGCGCGAATTGTGTACACTAAAGGTATGTTGAGTAGCTGAGCCAGCAGTTCACCGCAGGGTCCAACGGCATCTGCAAGAATGACATCAAACCTTGATTCTTGCAGCCTTGTCATAAATTTTCTGTTTAAAACTACATCTCTACAGAGCTTTTCAATACAGTCACTATATTTTACCCCAATTTCTTGCATTAGTGAAAAATATGTCCAGAATGTCTCTTTTGGAAGGTCATATGTCCATCTACTGACCATTTGTCCAAATACATCCTCAAATTCAACCTTGGTTAAAGATGTAGGGAAAATCTCAAATTTAATTGCAGGTGATTTGGTGGGATCAACAAGAATGGAGGCTGAAGATGCCAGCACAACCACTTCATGGCCTCTCTGGGCAAGTTCATCCAGCATTGCCTTTATGTTGATCCAGTGGCTGTATTCTGTGGGCCACACCAGCACCTTTCCGCAGCTCCCAGAGCTGAAGTAACAAGCCAGGTGTAGCAGCAAAGGAACTGAAATCCATTTCATAGACATCCTGGTGGAGAACAACATCTCTTCAAATTTCTGTCCCCTTGTACGACTGTTGCTGCTTATATCAGGGAGAAATCAATTAGGAAGTTAATATATAACTCCTCCACCTCCAAGTAAAAGCATTATATGAGCAGAGCATTTGGATGGCAAGGAAAAAAAGCAAAAAAAGGTAGATGATCTTGCTTGTACATGAATGTGATTCATGTTTGTGTTATTACTATAATTGACACCATCTAGTTAAGAGTCAGTGACCTTGAATATGAAGTGATCTATCTTATGTAATATGTTTCAGAAGTGTGCCAAGAATGGTGGCAAGTGAAATGTGATTGTGTCTGTATTCTCCTTGAGAACTAGAGATAAGTAAGGATACAGCTGAATCAGAATGTCTTGGAAATGATGGTTCAAGAGATATTTGCTTTGTTTTGTTTATAAAAACTTTGATGACATGTAATTCATAAACTGTACAATTGTAAAATTTAAAGTATACAATACAGTAGCTCACAGTAGCTTCACAGAATTGTGCAACTACCATGGCAATCAATTTTATAGCACTTTCATAACTCCCGGAAGAAACTTTTACCCTGTGGACGAAAATCCCTTTTTCTGCATGTCCAGCCCTGGCCAACCTTTAATCTACTTTCTGTCTTAGAGTGTTGCCTAAACTGAACATATCATATAAATGAAGTTATGCATTACATGCGTTTTTGTGACTGGCTACTTTACTTAGCAAAGTGTATTATTTTAAACATTTATCCTGGTATCATTGATATATAATTGAAACATTAAGCGTTTTAAGGTGAACAATGTGATGATTGTTTTCACTAACATATTATGAAATTGCTATACAGTATGATTAGTTAACACAACCATCATTCCACCTAGTTAACATTTTTGTGATGAATTTTAATATTTATTCAGTTATCAACTTTCTAGTATGAAATACACTTTTTTTAACTATAGTCACCATGGTGTACGTCAGATCACTAGAACTTACTCATCTTGAAACTGGATATTTGTGCCCTATCACTACCTTCATCTATTTCTTCCACTGTCTCAGCTTTAGCAATCACCAATCTACTCTGTTTTTATGAATTTTTTAAAATTCCACAATAATTGAGATCATACAATGTGTGTCCTTCTTTGTCCAACTTATTTCATAAGCATAATGCCATCAGTGTCCAACCATATTGTCATAAATGGCATGAAGTCCTTCTTTTTTATGACAGAATAATATTGCATTATATATATAATTTTCTAGAAAAGGTAAATTCTTTCTATATCTAATTTACTCAGAGGTTTAATATGAAAGGACTTTGAAGTTTGTAAAGTGCTTCTTTCTGAATCTATTAAGATGATCATATGTTTTTCTTTTGATCATTCATTCCGTTAATGGTGTGTATCACATTTATTGATTTGTTTGATCAATATTGAGCCATGCTTGTATCCCAGGGATGAATTCTCCTTGATCTTGATATATGATCATTTTAATGTATTCTCTGTCTTTTGTACTTGGCCCAGCTAAAGGTTTTTCAGTTTTGTATATCTTAACAAAAATCAGCTTAGTTTAATTAATCTTCTCTATCGTCTTTCTTGTCACATTTTATTTCATTCCTGCTCTAATCTTTATTATTTCTTTCCTCCTCCTAACTTCTGGCTTTGTTTGTTGTTCCTTTTTTAGTTCATTGGAGAGTAAAGTTAGATTATTATTTGAAATCTTTCTTTTTTCTTAATGTAGGCATTTATTTTTACAAACTTCCCTCTTAAATTGATTTTGCTGCATTCCATAAATTTTGGTATATTGTATTTCCAGTTTCATTTGTCTCATGATATTTTTTGATATCTCTTTTCAGTTGTCCTTTCACTAGTTGTTTTTCAGGGCATTATTTAATTTATAAATATTTGTCAGTTTTTCAATTTTCTTTCTCTAATTGATTTGTTGTTCCATACCATTGAGGCTAGAAATGCATGATTTGATTTCAATATTCTCAAATTTGTAAGACTTGTTTTATGATGTAACATATAATCTATCCCACAGAATATTCTATGTGTACCTGCAAAGAATATGCATTCTGCTACTGTTGGATGGAATATTTTGTATATCTGTTAGGTCCATTTGGTCCAAAGTGTAGCTCTAGTCTATTATTTTCTTTTTGATTTTTCTGTCTGAATAATCTATGCATTGTTGAATGTGGGGTACTGAAGGCCCATTCCATTGTTTCATGCAGTGTATTTTTGCATTGAGATATGTTAATAAGTGTTTAATATAATCAGGTGTTTCAATATTAGATGCATACATATTTTGTTTATCCTCTTAATGAATTGACCACATTTTTATTATATAATGATGTTTATGTCTTTTTATATTTTTTGACTAAAGTCTACTTTGTCTGAAGTAAATAGAGCTACCTCTGTCCTCTTTTTGTTTCCATTTTCATGGAATGTCTTTTTCTATCTTTTTACATTCAGCCTATTAGTCTTCACATCTTAAGTAAAATTCTATCTGATAAAGTGTAGTAGTCTGCTCATGGAATTATTGGGATTCCTTTTTATGTGCTGTCTTTTTTTTTCTTTTTTTTCTCCTTTTAGAGTATTCTCTGATTTTTGAGAATTTTGATTATCATGTTTCTTGTAAAAATTTGTTTGGATTGAATATTTGGGTATCTTTGAGCTGCATGTACCTGGCTGGCCATGTCACTCTTCATAACTTGAAAGCCTTCAGGCACTCTTTCTTTAAATACGATTTCTGCCCTTTCCCTCCTTTCTCCTTCTGATATTACCACAATGCAAATATTGTTCACTTGATGGTTTATCATAATTCAAGCAGTCTTTCTTCATTTATTTCATTCTAATTTCTCTTTTTCTCAATGATGGGATAATGTCAAGAGATCTGCCTTTAATTTTGCCGATTATTTGTTCTGCCTATTGAGGCTTTCTATTTCATTTTCATTCTAGAATTTGTTTGCTTCTTTTATTGTTTTCTATCTCTTTTTTGAACTTCAGTTCTGTTCATGCATTGTTTTCCAGATTTCACTAAGTTGTCTCTCTTTGTTCTCTTAAATCTCACTGAGCTTCCTAAAAATAATTATTTTGAATTATGTTTCTGGTGACATAAGTCTCCATTTCTTTGGGATAAGTTTTTGGAAAATTATTGTTTTCCTTTGTTGGTGTCATGTTTCTGCCTTTTCATGTTTCTAATGGCATTGCATTGATATCTGTTCATTTGCAGGTATATTGACCTTTTCCAGCCTGTTCAGACTGGCTTCAGTGGGAAAAGACTTTCACCTGAAGGTGGCTCAGCAGTTGCTGGCTGTGTGTGATGCAATATCATTGGTTCTTCGGAGGGAACAGTGGCATAGTCTCTGTGAAATGTATCAGCTGAGTCCAACATTGGTGCAGATTGCAGGGCTCTCCTGTGGCCAAGAATGTGGATGTTTCCTGTGGGTCGATGTGATGAGTGGGGATACTGGGATTCTTTAGAAATGAAAGCTGCTGGATATTTTTGTTCTCCTTTTGTGCCTGTGGTAGGAAGCTCTAGTTTAGGGGACACCTCTTTTCCTCCCATCCAGGGTGCTGGAACTCAGAGCAATAGAAAAGATGGTCCTGGGATATGAGTATGGGTCTTAGGGCATGGCCTCAATAATGAGTTAAGTGTGACTTAATTTGCCTAAGCATAACAGTCCCATAGAAGTTTGTTTTTAGATTTTTGTTTTGTTTTGGTAAGCACTTATTCAAGTATTTATTTATTTGTCTATTTATTTATTTATTTATTTATTGTTTTTAACTTTTTAAATTTTTTATTTTGGTATAAATAATCTCCAATTACATGAGGAACATTGTTTACTAGACTCCACCCATCACCAAGTCCCCACCAGAAACCTCTTTACAGTCACTGTCCATCAGCTCAGCAAGATGCTGCAGAATCACCAATTGTCTTCTCTGTATTGCACAGCCTTCCCCGTGCCCCCACCC